GGGTGCAAGGCTGGGGAATTCAAGCTTTTTTTTTTTTTTTTTTTTTACTTTACAGGTAATTTCTACACACCACTAAATTGTTCCTAATATAGGTGCAAAGAGCGACTATACCATAATCCAGCAATTCACTAGCGAAAAGTCAATCAATATTAATAACTGTACATTACTAAGATTACAGTATGTGGGAGGTTGGTCTTATTAGACAGACTGGGTCTGTGAGGTGGATAAATTATAATCGAGTATTGATCCTCCGGGAATCTTGACACTACTTGACTCTTGCTAAAGCCCCTTAATTGAGCCATACTCCACTGGACGCAGAACGATGCCTCTCCATTTGAACCTTTGCGGGCATAAGGCACGCTTCTCATCGCGCGTGACATAGCAAAGCACGGTGATCACACCCCAGCAGCTTGCTGTGGGACTCTGGGCGGCGCTGATATCTGTGCTTAGAGCGTCGAGACCTTCTAGAGTCCTTCTGCAGCTCGCAGAGAAGCATCTACAGGTCATTATAGCACATTACAGGCCACCAGCTCCTCCCCCACAACGATTTGCTGAAGTGCTTTCAAAAGTTAATTCCAAATTTTTCATCGCGTCCAGGGTTTACCGAGCACTAAACACTTTCTGAACCTCAGGCTGGCTTTGAATGTAAATCCCTGGACAAAACATCCAATCTTGGATGGCAGTGTTTCTCTGTTTCTTGCATCAGCCCACTGTGCGCATCCCTCACTCTCAATTGACTTGTTTTGTATAATATTTTTTTTATTGAAAGCTGTGAAGAATTTTTTTTAATTCAGCTCCTGTTGCCCATGACAATATATACTAAACAATGATGAAAAATGCAAACATGCATTTCTGCTATTTTTCAAATTCTATATTCCTATAGCGGCACTCCTGTCCTTTTAAAATTCAAGACATAGTGCTTATTTTTTTTTCACCGGGAAAGGACTAATTAGGCTATTTGTAGTACTATCCCTTCCAGTGTATTTGGGTGATATGCCTTGAGATAGTCAGTCTACCTGGTCAGCATGGGATGTAAGTCTGTCTTGTGAAGCAGTAGCGTCTTCTACATATACGTATATACAGTACATACTCTTTATCGTGCTGATTTTTCAGCCGCATGTGTATTAATTTTTATGGGAATTTCAGCAAAATACAATAAGTTCTTTGCGAGACCAAAGGGGGCAAGGGGGCCAAAGGGATGGGGTGATGTCAGTGAGACCACCCCCTCGCTGCACCCGCTGCTAATTCGCAAACATTGTACAGATGGTGGTTTCTTTACTGACTGGCCCTGTACTACTCGGGTTATGGACCTGAACTGACCACATAATGTCTTTGGGCTCCGAGTACCTTTTATCCCCCACTTAATCTGACAAGGTTGTTACACTTGTCTGCACATTTCCTAAAATAAAATCCCCATTCCCAAGTCACATGCCTCAGTTTACTGTCCCATTGAGATTCTTGCTCTATCACTTTAAAGTAAAGACAGATTATTCACACAGACTGTGTGAAGTCTGATGCTGGCCAACTACCAATCAAAATATATATAAATTTAACAATTAGAATTTAACTGATGACCTTTCAAGGGCAGATCAGACTGTAGGATATATGAATAAAAAAATATAAGTACAACGATTAAAATTATCATCTATTTTGCAAAAATTAAAGAATGAGTTTCAATGGAAAGGAACTCAGCACAGATGTCCTGGTAATAATTAAGTTAGAGACTAATTAGATAATCTTCCCATTATTCAAAGTGGTTTTAAATTAAACAACGAGATAAGACCCATTTTAACAAGGAAGGATTACATGGCTTCTGTTACTCTTTGCATACATACAGGTAATCAGGCTATTTTAGCAAACCAAAAGCATCAGCATGCGAAGTGCTTCAGACGTCTGACTTGTTTCCAGTAGTGATCCGCTCACATACAGGTGTCCACATGCCTCTAGGCACCCACACTCATGGCTCAATAGAGGGCACTTGCACCAATCAGAATCCCGAATGCTTTGCCCTTGCGAGCAGCACGGCAAGACTGATGGTACGCCATGTGCTCAAACCCACGGTCAGCCAATTGCAGCTTCAGCTACCACGTGTGAAATCACTTCATGAAGGATATCTTCAACTTGGCAAGCAGAAGTGTGACCTGAAAGTGCCTTAGATCCCTAAAGGTGAGCACAATATAGCACAATTCCAGCCTCCAAGACAGGGATATTATGCAATTCTAGGCCTTACAGACAGGGCCTGACTGGGATTTAAAAAAAAAAAAAAAAAAAACAGCCTTGGACTTTGAGGTCCTCCAAAAAAAATTTTTACAGATGAGGGGGGAGGGGTCCCCCCCCCCCCCCCCCCCGAGTCGCTGTCAGGCCACACGGGCAAAAATCTATTGGAAAATCTGATAAAACAGTTTTGAGCTAGTTAGTTTTTTCGCAGGGGTATTGACACAATTTTGCAATGAAAGAAAAACAGAAAAAGAAACAGAAATTATATTTAGTGTTAGAAAAAATTCTGTGTTTTGGGTGGGGGGGAGGGGGGCATGGGGTGAAGAAAATAACAGAACCTTGGTCTGAGTGTCATTCACAATTCAGTCTCTTTGGAAGTTTAAAAATCATGTGCATCATCTTCTATTATCCCACAAATGGTGGTTGTCCCCGAAATTGCCTTCCAGGTTCACTGGGCATTACCAGTGCTTGTACCCTGTTTACTCTCCTTTAGTGCTTTAATCCCAGAATTTCGTGCTGTAGTGTAAACATTTGAGCGTAATCAAATGCAACCACCTGCAAATTTTGTTTTTTTTCCCTAAGATTGTCTTTCCTCCGATTTCACTCTCAAGGGAAGCTGGTCAATGCGATCTCTGCTGATGGGCACTAGTGCAGAACGTGGTCGATGTCATACTTCTCACAGAACTTGCTGGTGAAGGGCAGACAGGTGAGATGCTCTAGCCAAGTCCAGTGGATGGGGTAGATGTAGAACCAGACCACCAGGGAGGAGAGCAGACCCACGTAGACCAGCAGCGACACGGCGATGAGCACCCGCTTCCGGTACTTGTCAAAGGTGCCGAAGGTGACATAGGGCAGGAAAGCAAAGGACAGCAGCAGGCCGCTGAGGAAGCCGAAGATGTGGGCGATGTTGTCAATCCACGGTAGCATGCCGCACAGGAACAGAAAGAGCACGATTCCCAGAAGCTTCAAAAAGGCATTCCATGGCTTTTCCAGCATCTGCCACCCCTGGAAGAGCTCCACAAACAGGCAGGCCAGGAGCCCAAACTGGGAGCCAGCTGGTCCCACCTGTAAAACAGGAAAAGCTCAGAGGCTGTACCGCGGTCTGCGGATGCAGGACGTGAGAATCTACACATGCTTCAGGAAGGAGCAGAAGTGTGAAGGACAGGGGCAATGATCTCAGCAGGAACAGATACAATGACGCCTAGCAAACAATACAGCGTACCTACAGAGTTCTCACCTCTATCATGTGTCAAGCTTGAGAGAAATTAGAGAATCATGTGAAGCGAGGCATCATTTCTTTGTGATGAAGCCTCTTAGAGCTGGGGTTTTCCATGTGGGACAGCACATGCACATACAGGCAGGAAGAGAGATGATATGACCTCACGACTCAAAGTTCTACGAGGTGCCATGGTATCCAGCATGTCCTTTAACGCCCAGAGACAGGCTGAAAGAATGACACGCTGCTCTCATCTTTGGTCACCAGATTATTTGAACTTCCACACCTTTCCCTTCACAAAGCAATGATCCATCACCACATTATGGCAAAAAACATTAAATCCAACTCCTGAGAAATTAATTAACAAGCCAAACATCCATCGTAATAATGCTGGCATATAATGGAAGCCAGCAGAAGACCACACTGACAGAAGCTGAGTAAATGACTGAAAACCTGTTTTAATGGACTATAAAATCAAAATGCGAATTGATTTATTACATGGTTAATAAATGATCTTGGCACTTAATGTTTCTCAGAAAATTGTGCATTATTACCAAACTGCCAATCTAAAGAACTGACCTTTAAAAATGTCTCATTCTTGCATGCTCAGTTCTACTTAAATGACAGTACTCATTCTTTACTAAGAGAAGTTAATTCACCAATACAGTTAAACCACTAGCATGGTTGGTTCAACTAGCCATTTCAGCAGCGTCACCCAAACCAACCTGATTAGCCTGACGTCAGGTGTACTATGGGCAGCCTGGACAGATGGCTAATCTGAGAGGATGTAATCTCCACAAGGACGGGGGAGGAAGG